CGCGGTTTTTCCCCCTGGACACACATTGCAATGAAAAAACAGCCGTTTAGAAGTGTCAACACCGCACGACCACCCAGGTAGTTATAGCACCGGAATTTTATTTACACCGATACCCCCTGAACATCATCATCATCATTGCACAGTGTAATACAGTGAAGTGAACTTCATTGATCGCTACCAAACTCATATTGCATACAACGTAAGTGAGAATGTGTAAGAAGGATAGAGATTAGACTTACTTTTAGGAACGGGAAACGAAGGTGAACCTCTATAGTCAACACACAGAGTACAGAGTCTTATTGTGCATACATACTAGTTCAAGTATTCTGGTGTGATAAGAAGTGACAGCATGAGCGCCATTGCTGTCGGTTCGCAGCCATGACCATCAGCGTCTGAAACCATGCGATTACGGAATCTTCTGGACCCCAACCCGAAAGACGAGAAACACCTACTCTAGCTAATCGCTCTGCGCATTTCTTCATGCCTCGTCTACACGTCATCTGTTGGCTTCCAGGTGGCTTTCTCCAGGTTGCAACAGCCAAAGCGAATAAGGCGCACTGCGGTAGGCGACCGTCGGACACACGCAAAACGTGTCCTAACCACTGCAGCCTGTTGAGCTGGATTCGATGCAATAGCGAGTTCTTGTTCGATGCATTCCCAAACAGCCGACGACTTACTTCTAGGTTACCAACCGCCTCACTCCGTCCCAATTGAGCCAGTCTACGTAAGCATCGATTGTCGAAAACCACTAGGCGAGGGATGTCTTCTCCTCGCAAGTTCAAGATCTCACAACCGTAACACATAAATTATCACACGAGAGTTTTCAACTTCAGTGAAACGCATGTGTTTAAGTCCTGCGTAGATTGCTCGAGCCTTGCGGGCGGCTATCTCCTTGGATGCGCTACCGTCGTTAGTTACGCAGCTACCAGAATACACAAAGCAATCAACTTTAGCTAATTCCTGATCGTCTAGTTTCAAAACAGAACTTGACGACAATCAGTCTTGTAGCACTTTGAAGGTGCAAAGCGCAAGCCGTCATTCGTGGCTACAAATGAAAACGTATTATTCACCGTCACAACCTGATCTGTAGTCAGATGATCCATGTTCAAGCAAACGGTGTGTAGCGCTAGTCTTAGATCGATCAATGGCGCCGAGACATTGAAGCCTTAGTGAATTATTGAGAGCGGTGAGTGGGAGGGGGGGGGTGAGATGAGTTGATCGCAATGGGGGAAAGGAGTATCATGTGGAAAGCGTTTGTTACCACTATGATCATCATCAGCATCACCATCCAATGTAGTGAAGCGAATTTCGCCGACCACTAT